TTCCTATACAACAAAATGGATGGCAGAACAGGAGTTGAAAGGGAGAGATATTGCTATAATTTTTATGTACTAAGGTTCACCCAGTATAAGGCCCAGGAGCCATTCAAGGTAGAGAATTACTATGTGGTGTTGTATGAATGTAAGAAAGGCAAGAAGTGCAGTTCATGAAGTTATGTAGGAATTGATAACAGTTAACCCTAGACTTGAATGAGGTTAGTAAAAATAAATGCTTCTAATATTTCTAAATAGTAAAATCAGAATTAACTTTATAATTAATCTAATATTATTCTTTATTGTTTTGATCTTCATAACCAACCAATACAATAGATCTTTTACTCATTTTACAACTACAAACCAATTGTTTGTTTATAACACAAGATCAAACATTAAGATAAATAAGTAATCAGATTCTTTGTTATAATGGTTAAAAAAAAACATTACTAGATAGAATCAAGATTTATATATATAATTGCCTTGTAAGCCATGATAACTATTACTGACTTCTTCAATGGATGAGTTCTAAGATCAAGGGAGATAAATGTTACTTGCTAACACACCTGAAAATATGTATGGACTTGATGACAAGAATTTGAACAAAAAAATTAAGAAATTTATTAACTGCATATATATTTAAATATTTATTCAGAATACCAAGCCTATATGTAAAGGGCATGATGGGTAAATTGTCACCATTTTAATTTTTAATTCTGCACATACATGTTGTTTGTTTCCGATTTTGTTGACTGCACTATATAGTAGGGTCAGTTGGGAATTGTCTGTGAGGAAAAGACCACCATGACACAATTCCCCCCACCAGAAATTTGGAAATGCTATACTGCTTGGCATTCATGCCGGAAGCTTCAATACGAATATTTCAGAGTAATTGGGTGTCAATCTGAGGACTGTGCAGAGGATTCAGAAAGAGCTAATGGTGATTATGAAGGTTTTTGGAGTGATCACTAGTGATTGCAATGTTATGCCTCCATTCATCCTCCCAAAGGGCCTCATACTCAACACAAAGGCCTACCTCAAGTGTTGAGTGGGTAGTCCTGCTCTAGGTCAAGAGAGTGGCTGCTGGAAGACCCTGAGTCTGGCAACAGGACTCTGGACCATGCCACACTAGCAGGAGAATCCAGTCATGGCTGCCAGACTATTTCTGTGACCACATTACCCCTTACATTTGGCCACTTAACTCTCCACAATTGCAACTTCCTTTATCATGTATGGGGTGCAGTTGAGTAGGAGACCAACAAAACTCCAAAGATAAACTGAAGGCAAGGATTATGGCAGCATTCACCAACTTAAACAAAGAGACTGTCCAGAAGATTTGCAGGAGATACTGAAATCATCTTCAAGCCAATGGTAGTTTTATTGAATGAATTTACTCTTTAGTATTTCAAGATATTTTTCTGCAATTTTGGAAAATATATTTGTTAAAATGAGATATCAGTATTATTTTCATTTTTACATAATTTAGTTGACAATTTATCCATCACACACTGCATATACATATATGTGTGTGTGTGTGTGTGTGTGTGTGTGTGTGTGAGAGAGAGAAAATGATATATAAATTTTTATATACCAGAACAATGTTATGATAATGACAAATTGGAAAATAATTTTGTGTGACACATTTCATCTTTTAGGACTTTATCATACTAAAAAGAAAAAAAGAAATAAATGCAACGGTCAAATCGGAACTTTGAATTCAGTCTGCCAATTCCATGGTTACAATGAGAAAGTAAAGAAATTAAATAATACATTGTAATAATCAAATGAAAAGAACTTAGATTTGAGATCTGTCGAGAAATTATCTTTCATGGTTCACCTTGTCGTTTGTGGCCAAGAATATGCCAGCTTCATCAGTATGCAAAGGAGCCACCTGCTTATTATACTTATGCCTACATTCTTTGATTATCATGAAAAACAAAACTATGTCTACTTTTTTTATTCTCATGCATTCTTCTATATGCCATATTCCTTCAGGATGTAGGCAATCATGACTCTCCACAATTTCCTGTCCTTTGTTGTTCTTAATAAATTTTGTCTTTTTGTTATTTCTCCTAAACCCTGTTCTGCCATCCTCTCAAGCTCACTATGTAGGTTATGTATTTTCCTCTGTCCCTTTTGCCTACAATTTGTCCTGTAAGTATTAAATTTTCCAAGCCCTCTTTACTCATTATGTGCTCTAAAAATTTCAACTCTCTTTTCTATAAGTTTCCTTTTTGTTTCCATTTTCTCTAAAACTTAATCGTTGCTCACATATTTAGTCCATAGTATCCTCAGCATCATCCTGTAGAAGCAAATTTATGCTTCCTCAAGTCTCCTCTTCATCTGTGAAGAGATTGTTCAGCATTCACTGCCATATAAGGGGACTGATATTACATAACAGTTCAGTATTCTTTTCTTTGCTTCTGACAATTTTTTTCTGTTTCTTAGTAAATAAGAATTATAATGATCAAATAATATACAACGGTACATCTGAATAAATTAAAATAATATTCAATACAAGACAGCTAGCTTATATTTTCATGGGTAAATTCATTGCTAAATAAATCTGGTCAAATTTCCAGCTGTCTATATTCTCAATGGACAGTGTCTTGAAAAGGGATAAAATATCTTTTTGTTGTACAAACACCTTACCTCCCACTTGGCTCACTCTCTCTGCCACTTCTTTCTCTTAAAGCATAAAAAGCACTAACTTTCAACACTCTTCAATCAGCAGATAAAACCTGACTGGTGAGATAGAAAATTCCATTAAGGGCAGCTTGACGGAAAGAAGGAATAATATTACAAACAACAATGTCTATGTCTGCCCTTTTGACTCTCATGTAAGCCAAACCTATGTCCACCTTTTTGATTCTAATGCAAATGAAAATTATATCTATCTTTTTGAATCACATGTAAATCAGACCTATGCCTATCATTTATCACATGTGTAAACTAAACCTATGTCTGCCTTTTTGACTCTCATGCAAACCAAACCTAATTCTGCCTTTTCAAATCTTGTATAATCTAGGCCTATATCTACTTATCTTTTGTTTAACAAAATGAAAGAATTTACCAATTAAATAATCTGTAAAAGTTTGATAAGCTGTAAACCAAAGCAAACCTTTTATGGTTAAAGTGACATCCATCTAAGACCAGCTCTGAGGACATGGGAGGTGAATTTCCATCTCACCGAAGGCAATTTTCTTGGTTCCAACTTTAATGGTGCAAGAATTATTGAATGAGAGTATCATGATAAAAAGTAACAATAAGATCAAATGAAAAAAATGGACAATATGAATTTTTACTTCTTTAAGATGACATGGGATTCTGAGGTTAAGAATGGTTCTTGAAGAAAACAGTTGTCAAGAAGTGATTGAATCTTAAAGAATTGCTTCCAAGTTGACATTCTATTAGTGCCCCAGGTTATGCAGCTTACACTGTGCAATTTGTGAACATTTACAAAACAATACTGAATAATTATTTAATGCATTCTGGGTATGAAAAGTGCCAGAATCCAATTTGTGTCAACAATCAATGCTAATTGGTGGAATGCTGGTGGCTAATTATGATTTGAAAAAGACTTTAACCTCTGCAATACTATGGCTTCTTGTGTTATGTTTAATAGGTTTTCAACAACCAGATGTTGCTGCTAATAATGAAAATAATAATAATAATAAAATTCTTTTCATTTCAAAGTTCACAGCTTACAGGTCTTTTAAGTTTTACTGAAAGACATTGAAAGAAGAGGCTTTTGTTGCCCTGAAAAGTTTGCTACCTGATTTCATATTTCCATGCTGAAGGATACCAATTTTAACCAATCAGACAAAGGAAAATAAAATTATTTCAATTTTTTCTAACTAGTGAGAAAAGAATGGAACAACATAAAGTTAAGCCATTATTCCTTGATGTATATTTGAATATATAACAAGGAATTATTTAACGAGGTAACATTATGCTAAGTTGCCTGTTGTAAAGTCATTTAACATTGTGGTTGATACATAAGTAGTTGTGCAAACTGAACATAAACAAGTTTTTTTGGTTCTTGCCTAGTCAGTTGTATTTATAATCTTCACTCTTTACATATTTAAATTCAGCTACCACTACACAAACTGTTGTAAAGTCATGTATCATAGTGGCCAATACTCAAGTATGTAGTCGCACAAACTGAATATGAACAAATGTTTGAAGAGAATTTTGATTTTATAAATGCTACACTCATAAAAAAAAGAAAATAATTCACTCAGAAGGAAAATCCTCAAGAGTGCTGTCATTGAATATTATCCAAATATTAATCTACACCCAGGTTTTCCCCTATATCACCTTTCCTAACAGAATCACTACTCTCCCAAGCCAATGTACACAACAAATATATCAAGAAATCAAAAGAAAATGGTTGAATCTAACAACACAACAATACAAACAATATTTCTACATGTGAAAATATTCTCTTCAAACATAAAGTAATTGATGTAATTTTTCAGTTGACCATATGAATATACAAGAGCATTTCTAAATTATTCTAGTTTCTAATGACATTTAGTTTCTTGTTTATAGATACTTTGTTTCAACAATATTCATTTCGTTTTTGTCTTGAAAAGTCCACATTGGATGAAACAAGTCAGCTAAAACTACAGTTTTCTTATTCTCTTTTTCTACAGGTTAATTCTGAGAAATATATATATATATATATACAATCGAAGAGAGTTAAAGAGACATGAATCTCACTCTTATAAGTAGTTTCATGCAATGAAGCAATTCTCAGACAGTTCAAAGAATGTAAAAAAAGAGAAACAAC